GGTCCCCATGTCGACCAAGCTTCTGAGTGCGGTGTGGGGGAGTGAGAAAAATAGATCCTCAATTATATGAAAAATTTATCAGTCACAAATTTGGAGAAGAAACGCTATACCACATACATCTTTGTTCTCTAGAGAAGGAAACACAAAGCCATGGTTATTATCTCTGAGTCTTCAATTGGGATTGGCCAGAAACCCACTGAAGACTGAATGAAGCTTTGCGTCGAGAAAGGATCTGTCGGAATCTCAGAGTGAAACAGATATGGAGCTTTCATTAAAGCCTGAGGCTCAGGCTCAAATTAGGAGAGAGCGTTTGAAGGGAGACTCATCAACTACAGGGATCAAGTAAACAGTCTTGATTTTAGCGCAACTTTGACATAAATTCTGTACATGTTGCTATCATGGAAACACAGTTCTTGCCATTTTTTCTGTTTATGGGTACCTCAGAGGTATTCTTATAGTGGCCGCATTACAAAGCAAGTCACCATTTGGTAAGGAATGAACCATTTCTTGACAAGGAAACCCGATTGGCTCCATGATGTTTTAAGCCAAACTTCTGCTGCAGAATGTTTGTTCTCTGTATTGTTGAGACTTATTTTGTAAAAAGGACTCCCTAATGAGCTGTGGGGAGATATTGCTTGGGACCTTGTAGAGAAGACACATAGACTGAAAAAAGCATTTATAGATTAAAAAAAAATCAGTACGTTAAGAGTCATTTGACTCCTCTTGACACAATTTTCTTTTTCAATGAAAAGAAGCACTATTTAGATGTGTTGCCATCTAGTGGTATTTCGAGTAAGAAGGGTGAGTGTTTCTTAAGCATTAGTACTTGCAATCTCAATTTTGTTTGCACTGACTCATGTTTAAAACAGATTCTTGAAAAACAATACACCCATGTGATAGTTATTGGTAAGAGCTTTTCTCCCTAGTCTTTATAAAACTGCCAGGTAGATCATGATGAAGGAGAAAAATCACTTGGAGATTGTTATGGATTGAACTGCGTTGCGCCCCTCCCCTCCATACACCCCACCTCCCAAGCATGTGTTGAATCATCTTAACCTCCATCCCATTTGAAAATGACTCTTTTTTGATAAGTTAATAAGACAAGATTAGTATAGGGTGTATCTTGAGTCAATCTCTTAAAATAGACAAGAGATTAAAATCAGCTGGCAAGCAGGGATGGGGGAAGATAGAAGCCAAGTGAGAACCAGGAAGCAGAAACGGAAGAGACAGGGACTCTTCCTGCAGAGTCAACAGAGAGACAGCCTTCTCCTCGGGCCAGAGCTCTGAATTCAGTCTTCTAGCCTCTTAAACTGTGGAGAAAATACATTTCTGTTTGTTAAAGCCACCGATGTGGGGCATTTCTGTTATTGCAGTGCTAGAAAACTAAGACAGAGATCAAGTATGAAAGCCTTTTCAAATATAAAATCCAGTCTAATAATGGATTTTTAATATTTTCCCCCCACTGGGTATGACATTACATTTATTTTTAATGAGTTCATGCATTTTTTATGCCTCATAATAAATGTATTCTCCCCTCCACACCCACCAAAAAAGAACCAATTGTTGTTTGATTGGGGCTAGAAGTTAAGTGCAAGCCCAAAATCCATTCATATGTGTCTGGTTTATATGTGTCTCTGGTTCACTTTAGAACATCATTATCATTGTATGGTAGGGAATATTATAAGTCACTCCCCTGGGCATAAGGAAAATCTGTGACAGTGTCATTAATTTAGCTAATGGAATGGATTTGAAAACATTGCTGAGAAAAGGAAATTCTACAAGTACAGGATGGTTTTAGACCACAATACAGGAATTACTGACTGCAAAGATTCAACTTTTATATGCTTGACCAAGATGTACATGGAAAATGGGAGTTGATGATAATGCAAATTTTGCACTAACACAGACAGAACCAGGCCTGCCGGACTAGTGCATGTCCAAAGAAAGCAAGGAGAGCATGAAAGTAAGAAATATAGGGTCGTCCAACATCACCGTTTTGGGGCCCCCTCAAAGCAAGAGATCTGAACCAAAGTCCAATGGCCTCCAATTCATAAACTTGGGATATCAGTAATCTGATTCAGCTTTATGTCCAAGAGACCATGCCAGTTCCTTGTAGATATGGACAACCATTGCTTGTGGGAAGTAATATGGCACTAGGTGAGACAACTGGGAAGAGAAATACCATACAACCCAGCAATACCTCGTTTGGGCATCTACCCCAAGGACACAAAGACACCTGTATTCATAACAGCAAGAAGCCAGACACAGCCCAAATCCCCATCAGCAGAAGAATGGATAAAGGAACTCTGGTGCATAAACCAATGGAATACTATGCATCCCTATAAACCAGTGATGAAAAACCTCATAACATGGATGGCCCTGGAAACAATTAAGCTGAGTGAAGGCCATTACAAAAGGACAAACTGCGTGTGTGCATCCACCACTAACAAGGATAAACACTAAGATGCAGTCAGGTGTCTGTTCTCAGCTCATCAATCTTCTAGTCTGTTCCTCCGAGGAAAGAGGTAGAGAGCCTGCTTAGGGCCCATGGATCATCTATCACCCTCTCTCGATGTACATCTTAAAATGCTCTCTTGAAAAAAATGGGTTCCTGGGGTGGGGGTGGGGGCCAGATAAAAGGGAGCTCATCCAGGAGCTGAGTTCAAGAAGAAGAAAAGAATGTTCTGCTACTGACTGTGATAGCAACTGTACAACACTGCTTGTTGTGATTAAACTATGGAATGTTGTATCTGTAAAAAATGATAAGACATCAAAAAGATTACAGCCAAAAGAATAAATCCTCTCTGTAGTTTCAACAAAATAATTTGAAAGGAAACGCACGGAAAAAGGTATTCCAACCACTAGTAGAGAGAGAGTAACTATATTAATATCAGAAACACTTTTAGATACAAATTGTAGTTTGAGACAAGCGTTTTACATAATGATAGAAAATGAAGAAAAAAAAAAGCCCCAATGAAACAAAAGGCATTAAAAAAAAAAGATTCACTATAGACTTGAAGCTGCCAAAGGAGTAATAAGATCAGTAGAAATGGAACTCTAATCACATAAACATGACAACGGAAAGAAAATAGAAAAATTCCTTGGTAAGCACAAACCACCACACTTCACACTAAAAAGACACTATGAATAGGCCCACAAATATGAAGAAAATTGAATAAATGATGAAAAGATCTCAGCAGAGCTTGCACAACTGGACTGGAAGGGCTTACGATCTACTTCTTAAAATTAGCCAATGAAAACCAGATGGAAGAAAGCAGACTTTTGTCCAATCCAGGGCTACACACTAAGCGCCTGGGTTACAAGTCGCTCAAAATACACAGCTGCCACACCATACCAAAAGCAAACTCACAGCCATCGAGTCAATGCTGACTCATACTTTGAGATGTCTTTCTTTCTTTTTTTGTTTTTAGATTTTTAATGTCTTAACCCTTTCCATGTCTACTCTAAATCAACTCTGACGTCCCACCAATGAGAACCTACCCGAAGCATGGGTCCATTTTGAAACACGTGGGGCTCATCACACACCACACAGTATTCATTCAATACAGGGATCCGCTGTTCAGCAAACTCAATGGTCTGAAGGCAGCAATAAAGGAAAACAATTAGGTGGAATTCAGAAAGAAGAGCATCGCTCAGGACTGCAATGTTTTATGACAGACGGGGGACGTTGTTCGTACCTGCACTAGGAAGCCGCGGTCTCGTATTGGAATGCATTTTGCACCATTTGGCTATAAGAAGCAAAGTGAAAGAACAAAATACCTTTTTTTTAATTGGGAAAAATACCAATGATAGCTTTTCACGTTTTGAAACGGCATACTGGAATGCATTTTTTCACCAGTTGACTATAAAAAGCAAAGTAACAGTACAAAATATCCCTTTTATCTTAACTAGAAACAAAATCATGAATTATATTCTTTCACTTTTTGAAACAATGCAAACCGGCACGATCTTTCTAGGATCGCATGTAAGTCAGTCCCCATCACCAAGAATTTGGGACTTTATTATCCGTCGTAGTAGAATACCTTTTGTATTTCATGCTTGCGCCATTCTTAGTGTCTCATTTTCTACTAAAAATGATCTGCATCGTTACATGATCACAACACACATTTTTTTTCTATTTCTCACTGTCAAATGCACCAGGCTCTTCAATTATAATATTCCAATCTTATATTACAATCAAATACAATTCTTCCTTCAAAGAAATATTAGATTAGCTACTGAAAGTGGTAAACACTAAACCATGTGTTACTGAACTACATAAAAAAATATAACTACGACAGTTTCTTTTGAAGGTTATCTGAAACTATCATGGTAAATTTTCCACTACATGATTTTTCTTTTAACATGATTGTTCTCAATTATATTGTCCCTGTCCACAAAACTCAACTTTGAAAAGAATTGACCTTGTGGGCAGAGGTCTACTTAAATTATGAACACAGGCATATACATTTTCTTAAACAAAACTTTACAAATATAATTTACAATTTAAATTTTTAAACTCTATGTAAGAGTAGCACCTATGTGGAAATGGTTAGCATCTCATTTTCCCCCTCAGTATTTCTTGCTGTCTCCGTATCAATGATCAGTGTTAAATATCCGCCCAGAAACACAGTGAGTGAAAGCTAGCAAAGCCTTTTTCCTCAACTATTTTGGATACGTAAATAATATGCATAAGATATGCTTAAAGATCTCTAAAGTGACTTAGTATAAAGTCATTACTACATACAGCTTTAAGGGAAGTTCTGGGATACAGCTACGAATGCTACTTCTCTACACAAGTAGCAATTTTCATGGGTAAAGGCCTCTTTTTACATAAACAAGAAGGGCACTTCTCTTAGTTTAATTAAAAGACAAGCCTTGCCCACCATTAATCATATGAGAAAACCAGACATTAGATGAACCTATGTCATAAAGTATTAAAATTATGTTCCTGCTTATATACAAAACATAAATCCCAAGTCCACTGATGTCCAGTTGATCCCAACTCCAAGTGACCTTATAGAACAGAGTAGAACTGCCCTGAGAGGTTTCTAACATTGTTATTTTTATGGAAACAGAGTGCTACATCTATATCTCACACTGAGGCCAATAAATTTCCATTGCAAATCTTTTTGTTTAGCAGCAAGCCCTGCAATCACTGTATCACCAGGGCACCTGATGCTAATAAAATAAAATATAGTTGTTTTTCTTCAGAACCAAAATTAACATTTCAGTACCAGTTGCAAATATCTGGCAGGCAAAATAAAATCAGTAAGTTTAAACAAACAAATAGCTTGTGTCTTTTCTGTGCCACATCTTACAAAGAAGTCTACTACACCTCAGCTAAGAACCCGAGATGAAAATATTTACGCACAGCAGGCTGGGATGATGAAGATGAAGATGGTGTTAAGATACCAATAAGCCCTGAGGTAAGAGAGAGCCTCCTGCCCTCTGCGTTAGGGTCCTTGAAAAGCTCGGGTTTGTTTGACTTGGGGGCACTGGAGTAAGACTTGCTGAGCAGTTTGTGGTTTTTCAGTCCGTACAGTCCCTCCATTCGGAGATTACTGGAACAAGACCTGCTTAGCAGTTTGTGGGGCTTCAAGGTGGTATTGTGCTCACATCTCGGATCGCCAGAACAAGATCTAGTCAATAGTTTATGCGACTTTAGAGTGAGGCAGTCCTCCGGCTTAACAGCTGCAGGGCAGGGGCGGTTCAAGAGTTTGTGCGATTTGATGGTTGTCATTGCCTGCTCTGCCCTGGGGTCGCTGGACAGGGAGCGCCCGAAGGTCCTGTGCGACTTTGCTGCGCACAAGTCCTCCGTCTTGACTGTGCTGGAACAAGTCCTCCGTAAGAGCTTGTGAGTTTTGGAGATTCCATCTTGCTCAGATTTCAGCTTGGATTTGCTTTTACCACAACCAGGGGGCGGATAACTTGGCGACCTTCAAAAAACGAACAATTGACACAGGGCAAATCGTGAGTTAATGGACCGTGCTGAATGCCTCCTTGGCCCCAAACTCGGCTGTTCACTAGCTAAGTTTGGAAACAAATGCTGCCAATATTGTGCCCATTCCCTTTAAAACAGTCAAACCAGCTACAGTTGGAATGAAAGATGCTATTTTCCATGGAAATAACCAAACCAACCCCCAAACCATCTAAGGGCTTTACCCCCCACTTCCCGCCCCCCCCCCCAAGAACTGCCCTGAAAGCAACTGGCAACATCATATATCTTGAAAGTCTTTTTGATTGAAAGCTCAATGTGAAAACAAAGAGAATACAATTTTAATACATTTGACCAACTCTGGTAAAGAAATGAAAACTAAATATATATATATGAATATGAATGTCTTATGTTTTTAAAGTAGAGAACTAGTCATACAGAAAAAAAACGTGTTAATTTACGTCTTTCTTTTGAAGGCACTGAGAAAAATAAAGATGCTAAGATTATGAAAAGCATGCGCAGAACTGATTAACAATAGAATACCCCGTGCTCAGCATTTGGAAAGGCAATGATGAAGCCTCCCGTGTTCCCTACCTGCGCAAGGTAGAAAACAAATGCAGGGGAGACTTGACCTTCTTTTCTGACAGCTTCTTATTGTGCAGGCAATTGGATTTGTCTTTGCTTTGTTTCCACTGCTGTGTAACAAATGTCTGCATGATTCTGTCAATTTAAGGAGAATGCTGTTATCACGGTCCCCGTGTAATTGTTTATTTAACTCTGTATTTATTAGGTAGAGCATGCATTCATCAGTGGAATATAAACACAGTAAGATGAGAATTTAGAATCATGTTTTCATATGCAGAAATACCTCGTGTATAAAGTTCCCTATTTAGCAAGTGCAATAAGTAGTTTTAAATGGGTTCCCTGAGAATCCGACTCAAGAAAGGGCAATGCACGATGCCAGTTTCAAAGTTCAGTCAAATTAAGGTGGACATATGGACCGCATCATCATGAAGGGCCCCAAAATGCTTGTAAATATTCAATTATTTGATGATCTACGTTGATACATTTAGAGATTAAATAAAATCTCTACCGACAGAAGAACAAATAATCTTTCAGGAATTATCTAAGTACTAATTCTGAAGTCTAATTTTTTTATTAATAATAGCTAACTTTATATGTTCGGCCATGCCTAACTCAAGAACACCACCCCTATGTTTTAGAAGTCAGCTCAAAGGGGCACCTTGTATATCCTCTTCTACAAGGCTAGATTCTGTGTCTGAAGAGAAAGCCACATCCGTCCGTGTGGAAGGTTGCCAAAGGTGACCAGAGCATCATTATTTCATTCAGCAAAAAAATCATAGCAACCGCTCTGGATTTACCACAAAACATTGGGACATGGGCCCAAAGGTCCAGTCTTTTGATCACACCAGTCAAAATGTTATCTTACCAAAAAAAATCAATGAATCCTTGTGTCTGTAATTTATCATTTCTCACTTCACTTTAAGATATGTCATTCTGCTGCCAATATATCAATAAGAGAGCTATCCGTTCTCTCTTCTGAGTTGTATGCACTATATGAAGGTCTTCATTCATGTCTTTTTCTGATACTCCAAAGCCATTTGTAATCAAAAGTTTAAAAGACCCAAACTCTCATTTTAGCTTGGGACCATTAAAAAGATCAACTGTGCCCAAAGGCTGAAGACTATGTAAGTCCAGTGTTGCGATATGTGCAAATAATATCAAAGATAAAGAATGCATCCATTTATCCAAATTCGTTATATACGCTTTAATTTTTGAATAGCTACTTTAATTTATAAAAGTTCCACATAATCTTCATATTAGTTAGCGTCCAAACGTAGATCGCACAGTGGCCCCGGTCCGGTGCCTTCAGAACTGTTTCTACCTCCAGGTCGCCAAGGGACAAACAGAGGGAACGTTGATGGAGCCCAGCAGAAGAGAAGTCCTGTGGAGTCTGCAGCCTGGAGCATCCTGGCAGACTCCTGCTAAGGGGCTCTGAAGCCAGTGGGACGTCTCAAGGAGAAAAGCAAGAAGTGGACGCATATTCACCGTCCACTCTCCTTCCTCCGTGCATTGGCCAATTCGCGACAAAAGAGGCACTGGAGGCCGCGTCCACAGAGGTCAGCGTCCTTGGGAATTGCACAGAGAGTTGGAGGGGGGACAGTGGGGTAATGGTCACAGAAAGGAACACATTGGCCCAGTCCCAAAAGGAAATTGTACTACTGAAATTATTTATATAATTTCTTCTTAATATCATAAAGGAATCTCTCTCCGGAGGTACTCGCTTAAAAAAACCCTCTAATAAAGAGCAACATGAGCACTCAGTTTGCTTTAATAGGAGTCCCCGCCCACCTCCCTGCACTTGGACAAACTTACTTTTTCAGCTGATGTCCCAATCCAAATCGCTCTTTTGTAGAAATCTGAAAGACATCGACAGTGGGCACTGCAAAGAGAGGGGGGCGGGGGCGGGGGTGGAAATCAAAGCTAAAATGTTCACTAGAAATTGAACCATCAATGAGCAAAAAGATAGAAGTAGCACGTGGGTATATTAATGAACACGTGTGTATGCGTGCAGGTGTGGACTACATGCACACGCAGTCTTACACATTGCTATTTGGAGACCACTCTCGGTTGTTATAGATCAGCATAAAATGGGTGCCAAAATATATGGAGTGTGAATCCCGATGCACAGGACAGGATGTGCTGTAATGTTTGAAGGGGAAGGGAGACAGACATGTCTGTGGGGACCTTATCAGAAGAAACAAAGGGCACCACCTAGAGGACTTCATCTGCCACTGCACACCATCTTAGGAAGTTCATATTCTTACCAGGTCCATGCAGTTCCTTGAATAAATTATGATGATGCTTATCAAATTGGTAACATCTCTCCAAAAAGTAACTCATTATTTGTTAACTGATATATTGAGCTCTCATTGTGCCAAGCACCATAAAAGCAAACAAACAAAGCTTACTGCGCTTAAGTTGACTCCAAATCACAGGGGCCCCACAATACAAGTATAGCTATCCTTCGCCCTCCCCCAGGGCAGCTGTCCAGTGGGAGGAGACAGATGAAAATATATGATAAAATGTAATGAATTCCAGAAAGTGATAAAAGATGGAGAAAAAAGAAAGGATTAGGTATGGAAGCCATAGGTCATGTGTGCCCAGGTTTCAATGTTAGAAAGGTTGTCAGAGAGGATTAAAAAGACAAAAAAGTCACTGAGCAGGTGCTATGTGAAGAAAGACTTGAAGATTTAAAATAGGAGCGCACGGGGACATCTACCTGAAAAGCGCTCCTGCTGGAAGAACGTCACCCTTTCCAGGGAAACAGGGTTCAATATTCTAAAAGAGTACGCCCACCAATGTGGCGGAAAGGCATTGTCATTAGGAGATAGAGAACCACTGACCAGAATACGTAGGATCTTTTGAAAAGGACAAGGATCGGTATTGAAAGATCAGCAAAGAAATTATCCAACTATCAACTAGGTCAAAATATGTGGTACCTTAGACAGGAGGGGTGAGTATTTTGTATTCAGAGTCTCTGCTAGAGGTGGCAGAGTTGAAGGACTGGAGTTGAATTGCAGCGCACACCAGAAAAATGGAGGTCAAGAGTTTGGGCCTTAGCAACTTGGAAGATGAAGCTTAAATTCCTTCCACTTAAAAGCAAACAGGAGAATAGGTCTGGCCAGGTGGGGGAAGATTAGCTGTTTGACTCTGAAGATCTTCAACTTTGAGTTGGATGGAAAAGTCCAGAATTCCGGCATTCAAGGGAGAGTAAGGGCCCAACTAGGGAGCATAGTGAAACACACGGGGCTGCACAAAGAACAAGGGGCGATCGAGGCGAGAACTCTAATGACTAGAAGACTTAAGAGGACCGGCCAGGAGGATGGGAGTCAACCAGAGTGTGGCTGATCAGACACAAATTCACAAAAATTCGAGGAGGAGATAAATAACTCCTATCAAAAACCGCTACATCAGTTAAGATGAAGAGTCAACATTGGCCACAGGGTCATTTAGCAATACTAACGTCATGGGTGATGCCGACAAGAATGAGTTGGTCAAACGTGGGCCCAAACCCTGACAAATGGAAATTTGCAGGAGAGAAGAGGAAAGA